GTAAACCCTATTAAATAAGTAGGGAATTTATAATTATGAAGTATAAAGAAAAATGTGGTAGATTTTAAAAGGATTTTGGATTGTGGTAGATTTGAAAAGTTAATTTCTAGAAAATGGTAGATTTAGAAATAATCCCAAATAAATATGATATTCATCAAATAAACACATACATTCAACATTAGGCTTGTATGTTACAAAATGGTAAACATAAAGTCACACTCAAACCTCCCCTCAAAGCCACAAATAAGACACTAAAATGTCACTCACCGACCATCTTTAATAAAATTCCTTTTTTTCTTTTTATTATTTGGGTCTTTTTCCCTCCTTCCTTGGCCCAAACAATTCTTCACCTCTTCGATAGTTTGAAAAATCAAATTTAAGCATGTAGCTCGTGAAGCTGGCTCCTGACTGACCCATATGCCTTCATAGCACCAGCTCTCAACACAAACTGATGGTAGAAAGCTGCAATAGCTGCTCCCACAAATGGACCGACCCAAAATATCCACTGTAATATTCATAAGATATATATAAACTTATTAATAAGTTATATTAAAACGCAAGAACAAGTATTAGATGGTGAGAAAACAAACTTGGTCGTCCCAAGCCTTTTGCTTGTTGTAGATAACGGCAGCTCCAAAACTCCTAGCCGGGTTAATCCCGGTACCAGTGATTGGAATCGTGGCTAAATGAACCATGAACACGGAAAATCCAATTGGCAATGGAGCTAATACCTTCATTTCAAACAATAAATCAATATCCGTTATTAACAATGATATACACAATTATAGGTACAGTTATATTACTAGAGTAGAGTCGGTAATAGCAGAGAGTGAGTGTGGATAAATCACTAATGTTGCATAACCGAAAAGATTGGTTATGTAAGGAATGATATTTGAAAATGAGAGGGATAAGATCGTTCAAATATCATGGAACATGCATGTATGAACAGAACATACACACATGGGTCGTTGCTAGCAAAATTTGGACCATTTACGTACAAAGACATGTGATTGTGATGAAGATACGTGAATCACAAATATATTATGTCGTTATATATCGTGAAAAAGATATTTGGTACCAAAGAAAAATACGAAAAATTAGAAAAAAATGAGTGAAAAATAATTGGACACCATTTCGTCGTTTATCTCATAGAAGAAATTAGACGCTACACTGATTAATTATTACTTGGTCCGTATTATTTTCGTTACGCCAAAATAGCAAGACGACATCGTTTTCGACATTTAATAAGTGTGTTCTATAGCTGGCACTAGATTAGATTCTGTTACGTCCCTTAGTCCAAAATTGTCGACAACCAAATCAAAAAAAATTATCCTGATTTTTTTTTCTTTCCAATTTTGATTTCTGTTAACATCACTAGTACTACATTTTGTTGAAACTAATTGAAAAGAAATAAAACTATCAATTTTATTTACCATATTTATTTTGAGCTAGTTTATGCTTACTTGAGTTTAGACATTATTATTTTTCATACCATACTTTTCTGAAGTGTATCCACTTGTGTTTACAAGTAATATCATAATTTTGTTTAAGATAGTAGATTTTTGTTTTTAACATCAAAGGTTAAGGTTTCAATTGGAAATTGAAATGAAACCACAACTTCTTCTCATCAATTGGAAGTAAATCAAATCAAATATGGGATTTATTAATCAAACTAGGGACGTAAGGAGAGGTTGGAATTGCTTACAGGAATGTGAGAGTCACGGGCATTTCGCTTAGGATCGGTAGCAGAGAAGACGGTGTAGACGAGGACAAAAGTGCCGATAATTTCAGCACCAACACCAACACCAACATTGTATCCGTCCGCGAGGACGTTGGCTCCACCGCCATAGCGGTTGTAATAAGTAGATTGGAAGATTTTCACTAAACCAACTCCGCAAGTGGCTCCAAGACACTGAGCCACTATGTATGAAATAGCCCTCACCAATGACACCTTACTAGCCAGGAATAGCCCAAACGTCACCGCAGGGTTAATGTGTCCACCTATATACACATATGTATGATTAGTAGTTTCATAAAACCAATTGATCCAAGTGAGACAGTATATTTTTATCGAGTAAATCTTAGACTACAATCTTAACTTAACACACTTCCTCCGTACATTAAAATTATATGTTTTGGTGTTTTCACACATTTTAAGAAAATATTTGCAAATATTTTATCAATTATATAAGTTTTATAATTTTTTTTTTGGGTCGACATATAAGTTTTATAATATAATTAAAATTTACATTAAATTGAGTTTAATTGTTAATTACGGGTAAATTAAGGAACAAAACATTATAAAGTTTACATAGAAAACATTAATCTTTGTGAAACAGAAAAAAAAATAATCTTAAAACATATATACATCTTTCAAAACCGGTGGATTATAATTTTTGTAGAAAGCTAAGTTTTCTTACAACATTGTGTATCATCAATCATTTTGACTATATAATTGGTTCAGTTAGTGTTTTTAAAAATATTGCTTCTTTGTTACAAGGCCCTTAGGAGCCTCGAACTATGAAACACATGTGCATTTAACTATGCAACTCAATGGATGTAAAACATAGAGGTAAATGCAAAAGATGGTTCAAAGGAAAAAGTAAAAGAGACCAGAGATTCCGGCAGTGCAGTAGACGAGGATGAAGATCATGCCACCGAAGGCCCAAGAGATGCCGAGGAGGCCGACACTAGCGCAAGCTCCGCCTCCTGATTTGGCATCGGTCTGGCTCTTGAAGCCGATGACTGTCAAAACGGTGACGTATAGAAAGAGAAGAGTAGCTATAAACTCAGCTATGACTGCTCTGTAGAAAGACCACTTCTTAAGCTCCCTCACCTCGAAAATCTTCACAGGCGGTGGTTCTTTGTAGTCCTTGCCGGAAAACGACTCCTCCTCCTCCGTCAACTCATCTGTCGGCATTGTTTCTGTCTTATTCATAACTCACTTAGCCTCCAC